TTTTCAAAGGTTAGAGGAGGAGGGAATTTTAATTTGGAAATTTCTGTTACTGGAGTATTAGAACAGGGTCAAACATCGACATGGCTTGTTGGAGGGCTTTGGCCTCAAGAAAGCAACATGAAAGCTCCTAGTGAGTGCTAGGAGGTCTAATAAAGTGGGGAAGAAGTGTAGGTGGAAGGCAGAAAATGGTTAGGAAGATGAGGTAAAAAAGCACAACACAAACTAGAATACACACTATGATTTTAACCATCCAAGACAGTTTGTATGATGCTGAGACTAGCATCGTATTATAGTAAGGAAAATGGTTGTTAGGATGATGGTGCTGTCTGACTTTTTAAAAGGTAATTTATTTTATCTTTTGAACATAAATACTATAAAAGGAGGTCAATGTTGAAGCATTTTAATTTTGCCCACAGTTGACTGTGTCTTCTCTTTTCCAAATGCTCACCTGGGATAAGTTACCTACTACCTACTGCCAAACCCTCTCTTCCTTTTTTGGCCTAATGTGGCTGTCAGGTTTTTGTTTCTTAATTTCTGTTTGTCTGAAATATCCCATTAATAGCAAAGTGTTATGGATTCTTTCTTTGAAATTCTTTCCTCTCTCTGTATACTGGTACTTCGGAATGTGATTTATTGCAAGCTCTTTGTTTCCTCTGCTCTCCAAATTAGCCTACATATCAGTGTTATCTTCTTAAAGCACCAGTTTCATCCTTCACTTGTCTACTTAAAAACAGAAAGATTCCCTTATGATCTTTCACAAGCAGCCAAACTTACTGATGTATTATTTATGATTTTCTATAATCTGATCAAGCTTACCCATCCAGCCATATTTCCCACCACTCTGCAACATAAATCTTATGTATAAACCTCCTTATAAACTGCCCATATAGCAAGATGTTTCTTATATTTGCTTTTCCCATCATTCTTTCTCCCTCAAAGAATGCTTTTTCCCCTCACTGCCTTGGCAGGTTCTGCCGATTTTTCTGAATCTGCTTTACATACTACCCCCTACAAAGGATATTTCTAAGTGCTACAGGCTTTATGAATATTTCTTTTCAAAATCACTTGGTACTTAAGGCATTTATTACATTTTACACTCTATTATACCTTATTGTTATTTTATTCTGTTTCCTGTATGTTCTTTGCCCAACCAAATTATTAGTTTTTTAAGGGAAACACTCATTTCCAAACACGTTAACCTGTTGCTAAACACGGAATAGACTCAATAAATACTGTTTTTTAAAAAATGTTTTATTTATTTATTTATTTGGCTGCGTCAGGTCTTAGTTGCAGCACGCAGGATCTTCGTTGTGGCATGTGGGATTTTTTTTTGCAGCGCACGGGCTCTTCACTGTGGCGCGCGGGCTCCAGGGCATGCAGGCTCAGTAGTTGGCAGCGTGTGAGCTCTCTAGTTGTGGCACGTGGGCTCCAGAGCCCATGGGCTCAGTAGTTGCAGCATAAGCGCTCTCTAGTTGTGGTGCGTGGACTCTAGAGTGTGCAGGCTCAGTAGTCGCGGCGTGTGGTTTTAGTTGCCCCACAGCATGTGGGATCTTAGTTCCCCGACCAGGGATTGAACCTGCATCCCCTTCATTGGAAGGCAGATTCTTAACCACTGGACCACCAGGGAAGTCCCTCAATAAATATTTTTGATTGAAGTAGTATTGTTGACCAATTTTGTTATAAAGGTTAGATAAGCTAGACAGAATTCTTAAGAGATGATTTATTTAGATATCTAAAACTGAAAGATGCTCCCTTAAAAACTCAAAATCAGTCTTTTAAAAATATCTAATTCTCTATTACAAACTTTCCTAAAAATACAGATGTCTACTGCTTCATATCACCCCAAAATTTAGTCACTTAGAACAATGAACGTTTATTATCACACAGTATCTGTAGGTCAGGAATCTGGGTGTGGCTAAGTGACTCTGGCTTAAGGTCTCTCATGAGGTTGCAGTCAGTGTGTCAGTTGGGGCTGCAGTCTTATCTCCAGGCCCAACTGAGGAAGATCTGCTTCCAAGCTTACTCACTTGGTTGTTGGCAGGATTCAGTTCCTCACAGGTTGTTGGACTGAGGTTCTCAGTTCCTCATTGACTGTGGCTCTCTGTGGCTCTCTCTCTAGAGGCTCCCTTCAATTCCTTGCCGTGGGCATCTCCAAAAGGCAGCTCAGAACATGGCAGGTGGCATTCCTCAGAGTGAGCAAATGAGAAAGCACCATAACAAACGACACAATATTTTCTTTTATAATTTTGTAAGTGACATTTCATTAATTCTGTTGTATTTGATTCACTAGAAGTGAATCCAGTCCACACTCAAGGGAAGGTGATTATACAAAGGTATGAATGCCAGGCTATAGGGCTCATTGAGGTCCATCAAAGAGGCTGCCTCCCTTAGTCAGGCCATTCTTCTCTTGTCTGAAGATCTTTTCTGACCTCAGGAAAAGAGGAGTTGCTTATTTGAGTCTTTCCCAATAATTATTCTATTCTTAGCACCTAAGCTTTAATCTATGATAGCATATCTAGGGTCATTTAGTATTGAATTATGTAATGTTCTGCATCCTGACCCTATTAAAGTTGTAGGAAAGCATACACTACAGTCTTTTATCAGGATAAATACAGAGCTTAAATGAGATATAGGATACCAGTATAGCAAATATGTTCTCAATTATTTGAATAAATAATGTATAAAATTTACTCAAAGCGTAGTTTTCAGTTAAATGCTATATTAAAACCTCAACATGTAATATACAATGTGCCATGTATAGTAAGGATTCAAAAATATTTGTTAAATACACTTGCTTATATATTTCTGTGAATGAATTAATTTAGTGATTTAGAATTCCTGTGCCTATGGTGGAATAAAATTGTTATCAGTTAGATTTTGCCATCTTAAAGTTCTAAATAAAAGCAAAAATAATAATATATTGATGTTCGTAGGAATTCCTTTATTATCAGAGTTGGAGAGATTAAAAGAATACTTTTTTAAAAACTTATTTATTTATTTATCTTTGGCTGCATTGGGTCTTCGTTGCTGCACGCAGCTTTTGCTAGTTGTAGCAAGCAGGGGCTAATCTTTGTTGTGGTGCATGGGCTTCTCATTTGCGGTGGCTTCTCTTGTTGCAGAGCACAGGCTCTAAGCGTATGGGCTTCAGTAGTTGTGGCTCGTTGGCTTAGTAGTTGTGGCTCACGGGCTCTAGAGCGCAGGCTCAGTAGTTGTGGCGCATGGGCTTAGTTGCTCCTTGGCATGTGGGATCTTCCCGGACCAGGGCTCGATCCCATGTCCCCTGCACTGGCAGGCGGATTCTTAACCACTGTGCCACTAGGGAAGTCCCTAAAAGAATACTTGATGCAGTCTTTAGAAGTTTATTTTGAATTTGAAAATAAAAGTTAATAAAACAATTTATCAACTTAGTGATTTGGGAGGCTGGCTGAGAAGTTAGTTCCATGTATCACTGTTTATATCAAATTAATTCCAGATAAATTAAAGATTTAAACGTAAAAAAAGACAAACATAAAATTACATGAAGAAAGTATATGTGAATGTTTGTATACTCTGAAGAGGTGAAAATCTTTCTAACATGACATCAAACCCATCAAACCCAGAAGCTATAATAGAAGAATTTGACTATACTGAAATTAAATATTTCTGTATGGTGAAAAGTAGGCAAAAAACATCACCATAAAGTCAGAAGCCATTATGGGAAAAAAAAAATTTACCATGTATAACAGGAAATGTTCTAATTCCTCTAACTGAAAAAGAGCTTTTATGTGGTTCAATAAAAAAAAAAATGATACTTGGATAGGCAGGCAATTCAAAGAAAAGTATATATAATTAATACATAGCTAAAAAGGCAAAACATGGATAAAAAGTTACTGCATATATTAAAATGATGCTACATATATTTAAAAGGTATCACGTATACTAAAAGTCATTTATAGGGGCTTCCCTGGTAGCACAGTGGTTAAGAATCCGCCTGCCAATGCAGGGGACACGGGTTCCAGGGAACACGGGTTCGAGCCCTGGGCTGGGAAGATCCCACATGCCGTGGAGCAACTAAGCCCACGTGCCACAACTACTGAGCCTGCACTCTAGAGGCCGCGAGTCACAACCACTGAGCCCGTATGCCACAACTAATGAAGCCTGCACGCCTAGAGCCTGTGCTCTGCAACAAGAGAAGCCACCACAATAAGGAGGCCGCGCACCACAACGAAGAGCAGCCCCCGCTTGCTGCAACTGGAGGAAGCCCGTGTATAGCAACAAAGACCCAATGCAGCCAAAAATAAATAAGTAAATAAATTTATTTTTTTAAAAGTCATTTATATATTAAAATGGTGATACCAAGTGAAAATACATGTATAAAAATATATCAATTTCGGGGAAGTATAGTTGCTTTACAATATTATATTAGTTTCAGGCGTACAGCATAGTGATTCAGTATTTTTACAGATTATACTCCATTAAAAGCTATTATAAGATAATGGCTATAATTCCCTGTGCTATACAATATATTCTTGTTGCTTATCTACTTTATACATAGTAGTTTGTATCTCAATTCCATACCCCTTTCTTGCCTCTCTCTCTCCCCTCTCCTCACCGGTAACCACTAAGATACCAATTTTTTAAATGCAAAAAAAAATGTTTGCTTACTTCTAAGAATGACAAACATTTAGAAGACTGATGACACCCATTCTTGGAAAGGTATTGGGGTAATAGTTATCTTGCTGATAGCAGTGAAACTTGGTAAAAACCTTTTAGAGCTTTATTGTAGTGACATGGAAAGATGCTTAAATATAAAGAGGAGGAAAAAGAAAGTTCAAAACAGGATGTACACTGAAAAAAATATGTGAGACCTTAGCTAACAGTTAACATTGATTTTCTCTGAATGGGGGGGGGTAAATATTTTATGTTACCTATTGCTACAATTTATAATTAAAATATATTACCTTTGTAATTAGATAAAAAGTAATATTTTTAAAAGGCAACTTTACCATTTCTTTTTACAGGCGATTACATGCTTGATACAAAGCCAAAAGAAATTTCAGAAATTCAACGTTTAAACTATGAGCAGGTAATAGATACAATTTTTGTTATATTAAGATAGTTAATTTTTACTTACGGATATATCCATTGGTCTCTATCAGTGGCCTTTCTTTTTTTTTTTGAATTTTTGAATTTTATTTATTTTTTTATACAGCAGGTTCTTATTAGTTATCTATTTTATACATATTAGTGTATATATGTCAATCCCAATCTCCCAATTCATCACACCACCACCCCACCACCACCCCACCACCACTTTCCCCCCTTGGTGTCCATACGTTTGTTCTCTACATCTGTGTCTCTATTTCTGCCTTATAAACCAGTTCATCTGTACCATTTTTATAGGTTCCACATATATGCATTAATATACGATATTTGTTTTTCTCTTTCCGACTTACTTCACTCTGTATGACAATCTCTAGATCCATCCATGTCTCTACAAATGACCCAATTTTGTTCCTTTTTATGGCTGGGTAATATTCCATTGTATATATATATATACCACATCTTCTTTATCCGTTCGTCTGTCAATGGGCATTTAGGTTGCTTCCATGACCTGGCTATTGTAAATAGTGCTGCAGTGAACATTGGGGTGCATGTGTCTTTTGAATTATGGTTTTCTCAGGGTATATGCCCAGTAGTGGGATTGCTGGGTCATATGGTAATTCTAATTTTAGTTTTTTAAGGAACCTCCATACTGTTCTCCAAAGGGGCTGTATCAATTTATATTCCCACCAACAGTATAAGAGGGTTCCCTTTTCTCCACACCCTCTCCAGCATTTGTTGTATGTAGATTTTCTGTTGATGCCCATTCTAATTGGTGTGAGGTGATACCTCATTGTAGTTTTAATTTGCATTTCTCTAATAATTAGTGATGTTGAGCAGCTTTTTATGTGCTTCTTGGCCATCTGTATGTCTTCTTTGGAGAAATCTCTATTTAGGTCTTCTGCCCATTTTTTGATTGGGTTGTTTGTTTTTTTAATATTGAGCTACATGAGCTGTTTATATATTTTGGAGATTAATCCTTTGTCCGTTGATTCGTTTGCAAATATTTTCTCCCATGCTGAAGGTTGTCTTTTTGTCTTGTTTGTGGTTTGCTTTGCTTTACAAAGCTCTTAAGTCTTATTAGGTCTTATTTTATTTCCATTACTCTAGGAGGTGGATCAAAAAAGATCTTGCTGTGATTTATGTCAAAGAGTGTTCTTCCTATGTTTTCCTCTAAGACTTTTATAGTGTCTGGCCTTACATTTAGGTCTTTAATCCATTTTGAGTTTATTTTTGTGTATGGTGTTAGGGAGTGTTCTAATTTCATTCTTTTACATGTAGCTGTCCAGTTTTCCCAACACCACTTATTGAAGAGACTGTCTTTTCTCCATTGTACATCCTGGCTTGCTTTGTCGTAGATTAGTTGACCATAGGTACGTGGGTTTATCTTTGGGCTTTCTGTCCTGTTCCATTGATCTATATTTCTGTTTTTGTGCCAGTACCATATTGTCTTGATTATTGTAGCTTTGTAGTAGAGTCTGAATTCAGGGAGTCTGATTCCTCCAGCTCCACTTTTTTCCCTCAAGACTGCTTTGGCTATTCGGGGTCTTTTGTGTCTCCATACAAATTTTAATACTTTTTGTTCTAGTTCTGTAAAAAATGCCATTGGTGATTTGATAGGGATTGCATTGAATTTGTAGATTGCTTTGGGTAGTATAGTTATTTTAACAATATTGATTCTTCCAGTCCAAGAACATGGTATATCTCTCCATCTGTTTGTGTCATCTTTTTTAAAAGAATTTTTTTTTATATATCAGGTTCTTATTGGTTATCCATTTTATACATATTAGTGTATGTATGTCAATCCCAGCTGCTTTTGCTGCATCCCATAGGTTTTGGATCATCATGTTTTCATTGTAATTTGTCTGTAGATATTTTTTGATTTCCTCTTTAATTTCTTCAGTGATCTCTTAGTTATTTAGTAACGTATTGTTTACCCTCCATGTGTTTGTGTTTTTTATGGTTTCTTTTGCTGTAATTGATTTCTAATCTCATAGCATTGTGGTCGGAAAAGATGCTTGATATGATTTCAGTTTTCTTAAATTTACCAGGGCTTGATTTGTGACCCACAATGTGATGTATCCTGGAGAATGTTCCATGTGTACTTGAGAAGAAAGTGTAATATGCTATTTTTGGAAAGAATGTCCTATAAATATCAATTAAATCTATATGGTCCATTGTGTCATTTAAAGCTTGTGTTTCCTTATTAATTTTCTGTTGGGATGATCTGTCCATTGGTGTAAGTGAGGTGTTAAAAGTCCCCCACTATTGTTGTGTTACTGTCGATTTCCTCTTTTATAGCTGTTAGCAGTTGCCTTATGTATTGAGGTGCTCCTGTGTTGGGTGCATATATATTTACAATTGTTATATCTTCTTCTCGGATTGATCCCTTGATCATTATGTAGTATCCTTCCTTGTCCCTTGTAACATTCTTTATTTTAAAGTCTATTTTATCTGATATAAGTATTGCTACTCCAGCTTTCTTTTGATTTCCATTTGCATGGAATATGTTTTTCCATCCCCTCACTTTGAGTCTGTATGTGTTCCTAGGTCTGAAGTGGGTCTCTTGTAGACAGCATATATATGGGTCTTGTTTTTGTATACATTCAGCGAGCCTGTGTCTTTTGGTTGGAGCATTTAATCCATTCATGTTTAAGGTAATTATTGATATCTATGCTCCTTTACCATTTTCTTAATTGTTTCGGGTTTGTTTTTGTAGGTCGTTTTCTTCTCTTGTGTTTCCCACTTAGAGAAGTTCCTTTAGCATTTGTTGTAGAGCTGGTTTGGTGGTGCTGAATTCTCCTAGCTTTTGCTTGTCTGTAAAGCTTTTGATTTCTCCACTGATTCTGGATGTGATCCTTGCCAAATAGAGTAATCTTGGTTGTATGTTCTTCCCTTTCATCACTTTAAATATATTGTGCCACTCCCTTCTGGCTTGTGGAGTTTCTGCTGAGAAATCAGCTGTTAACCTTATGGGAGTTCCCTTGTATGTTATTTGTCCTTTTTCCCTCGTTGCTTTCAATAATTTTTCTTTGTCTTTAATTTTTGTCAATTTGATTACTATGTGTGTCGGCGGGTTTCTCCTTGGGTTTATCCTGCCTGGAACTGTCTGCACTTCCTGTACTTGGATGGCTATTTCCTTTCCCATGTTAGGGAAGTTTTTGACTATAATCTCTTCACATATTTTCTTGGGTCCTTTCTCTCTCTCTTCTCCTTCTGGGACCCCTATAATGCAAATGTTGTTGCATTCAGTGTTGTCCCAGAGGTCCCGTAGGCTGTCTTCATTTCTTTTCATTCTTTTTTCTTTATTCTGTTCCACGGCAGTGAATTCCACCATTCTGTCTTCCAGGTCACTTATCCATTCTTCTGCCTCAGTTATTCTGCTGTTGATTCCTTCTAGTGTATTTTTTGTTTCAGTTATTGTATTGTTCATCTCTGTTTGTTCTTTAATTCTTCTAGGCTTTTGTTAAACATTTCTTGCATCTTCTCGATCTTTGCCTCCATTCTTTTCCCGAGGTCCTGGATCATCCACTATCATTATTCTGAATTCTTTTTCTGGAAGGTTGCCTTTCTCCACTTCATTTAGTTGTTTTTCTGGGGTTTTATCTTGTTCCTTCATCTGGTACAAAGTCCTCTGTCTTTTCATTTTGTCTGTCTTTCTGTGAATGTGGTTTTCCTTCCACAGGCTGCAGAATTGTAGTTCTTCTTGCTCTGCTGTCTGCTGTCTCGTGGATGAGGCTATCTAAGAGGCTTGTGCAAGCTTCCTGATGGGAGGGACTGGTGGTAGGTAGAGCTGGGTGTTGCTCTGGTGGGCAGAGCTCAGTAAAACTTTAATCGGCTTGTCCGCTGATGGGTTGGGCTGGGTTCCCTCCCTGTTGGTTGTTTGGCCTGAGGCGACCCAGCACTGGAGCCTACCCGGCTCTTTGGTGGGGCTAATGGCAGACTCTGGGAGGGCTCACGCCAAGGAGTACTTCCCAGAACTTCTGTTTCCAGTGTCCCTGTCCCCACAGTAAGCGACATCCACCCCCTGCCTCTGCAGGAGACCCTCCAACACTAGCAGGTAGGTCTGGTTCAGTCTCCCCGGGGTCACTGCTCCTTCCCTTGGGTCCCGATGTGCGCACTACTTTGTGTGTGCCCTCCAAGAGTGGAGTCTCTGTTTCCCCTGTCCTGTCAAAGTCCTGCAATCAAATCCCACTAGCCTTCAAAGCCTGATTCTCTAGGAATTCCTCCTCCTGTTGCTGGACCCCCAGGTTGGGAAGCCTGACGTGGGGCTCAGAACCTTCACTGCAGTGGGTGGACTTCTGTGATATAAGTGTTCTCCAGTTTGTGAGTCACCCACCCAGCAGTTATGGGATTTGATTTTATTGTGATTGTACCCCTCCTACCATCTCATTGTGGCTTCTCCTTTGTCTTTGGATGTGGGGTATCTTTTTTGGTGAGTTCCAGTGTCTTCCTGTCCATGATTGTTCAGCAGTTGGTTGTGATTCCGGTGCTCTCGCAAGAGGGAGTCTCAGTGGATTTTTGGGCATATTCTTTGTTTTCTCTTTTTACACCCTTTTAAAAATGTAAAAAACATTCTTAGCTCACAGCCTTATTTGACCCACAGGCCGTACTTTGCTGATCTGTCTTTTATGTGAATCTATATGCAATGTAGAATGAAACATAGATATCATTCTACACACCTATGTAGAATGATAACTTGGTATTTTCCTTGAAAAAATTGACTTCCAAGTGAATTTGTTATTGATTTATCTTTCCTCATTTGTGTACATTTTACAATTAAATTATATGTAGGAAACAGTTCAGCAAATGATGTCTGGGGTATGTCATTAGGACTAAATCTGCTGTTTCATAGTTTCAATGTGTCTACATTGCTTGGCACGTTCTTTAGAGATACTATTCTGTAATATAGGAGGGGACCACTGGGCTCAAAATTATTGGAGCTGTAAGAAAGCAAGCATAGCTTCATTTTCTTCAGTATTCTTCCTTTGTTTGACAATGGAAGGCAAGAAGAAATCAGGTTCTTACAGTGGAAGAAGTATCAGGCAGGGAAGAAACAGATATCATTGGAACCTTTATGTTTACTTTCAAAGTAACCCTTACTACATACTTTCACCAGTATCCAAATGGCAAAAAGAAAACAAAATTCATTTTGGTATTGCAAAATTTCTTGAATTTGAATGTTCAAATAATCTAGTCCTAATAAAATGGAAAAGTGAGTATGTTGCATTGCATCACTGTGTAAGGTAGGAAATCCATAGCTAAAGCCAAATAGTATGCTAAATCATTTAAATTCTATTGGAATTTGTAGCATAAAGCAAGGATTTCTAAACATTTCTCACAATGGAAACTTCTTTTCAAATGAAATCTTAGGCTAACCTTCAATATATAAAACCAGTAAATATTTTATAAGTGTAAAGTATTATGGTTAAATTTATATCATTTACCAAATTTGTATCATTTCTTATTGAAATCAGCAAGGCTATTATGATTAATACAAAAACTTGAAATTAGAAATTATGGATCATAGTTGCAGTTTCACATTAACCTCAAAATTCATTTTACTTCTGTTGCACAGTCTTGAGAAAATCTTTTTTATTTATTGATTCATTTTTTAACATCTTTATTTGAAGTATAATTGCTTTACGATGTTGTGTTAGTCTCTGCTGTATAACAAAGTGAATCAGCTCTATGTATACATATATCCCCATATCCCCTCCCTCTTGCATCTCCCTCCCAGCCTCCCTATCCCACCGTTCTAGGTGGTCACAAAGCACCAAGCTGATCTCCCTGTGCTATGCAGCTGCTTCCCACTAGCTATCTATTTTACATTTGGTAGTGTATATATGTCCATGCCACTCTCTCACTTCGTCCCAGCTTACCCTTCCCCCTCCCCATGTCCTCAAGTGCATTCTCTACGTCTGCCTCTTTATTCCTGTCCTGCCCCTAGGTTCATCAAAACCATTTTTTTTTATTCCATATATATGTGTTAGCATACGGTATTTGTTTTTTGAGAAAATCTTGAGTGATGAGTATTTGCAGATGATATCAGCACTTTGTTTCAAGTCTGTTTTGCAGTCTCAGGATATGTTTCCATTAAGGTGATCTAGACTCTTGAAAAATGATTGGAAGTAAAGTTTTGCTTCAAAGTTGAAACAGACACTAACAACCACTTGCATTTCTTATAAACATGTTAGACAGAAAGTACCCTGCATTTAAAATAAGCTCTAAAACTATTTATAAGGTATTGTGATTGCATTACCATTAGTTTTGAGAATAGTATGTACCAAGCTGATAAGACTGAGTCTAAGCTGGTGCTTAATGTTCCACAGGTGTGATGTAACAATGTTCTTTTTGTATAGTTTTGTGTGAGCAGAAATGTTTAAGCCTAAATTTTAGAAAGACCAATGCAGAGCTGCAGTCTTCCTAATTAAAAACCCTTTTACCAGAAATCATAATATAAACAAAGAGCATATTTCTTTCAGTTTTGCTTAATGATGACAACACAAGAAAATACTGTGTGTGTGTGTGTGTTTATGACAGGTTTTTATATGACTGCAAATATATTTTTTAAATATATCTTGTATTTAACTTTAAAATTTCACCACGTTAACAGTACCTTTAAGAAAAATTCTAAGAAGCAGTTGAACTACTGGCTTAAAGGAGTAGTAATCCTTTCTTGTAAGCACCCATTTGGATTCAAGAACAAGATGGCAAAATACTCTTTTTAAGTCTTTGTTTATAAATTTGTTTATTTTTATCAGTTTTATTTATGGATATTATTAATTGTATTAACTTAGTTATTTTAACATTTTATAATCTATTAAAAATGTAGAAGATACATAAAGGTATAAGCTTGAGTCCAGGAGCTGTTAGAAATTATACTTCCCCCTGAAGGAAACTGGATGACTGGCAACTAAGAATTTAACAAATAGCAGAAAAAAATCAGTAGTATCAGTGGTAGAACTATAATCCTACAGTGGCTCATTATTGTTACTATTTTCTCACATTCATCATTGTTATGGCTTTAGGAAAAGTTTTAAAACACTGAAAGGAAAAAAATGTGAGCTGATTGTTTTCAAGGGCTCAACTTTTAGGAAGACTGAGAAAATATATTGTTTTGGGGGAATATAGTTATTAGAGGTGAAACTGACAAAATCCAAAGAGTATATAACAGTGTTATCCTGTTATAAATTCTTCATTCATAAATTTAAAACATTTGAATAATTTGTTTTCAGTCTGTGTAGTCTCTTAGCATGGAATTTTATAAGTTAATTGGTAAAACAGAACTTTGTTATTATGACCTAAATTTGTCCATCTGAGATTTCAGTGAGAGTCCCTAATTTTAATATAAAAGGATTTATTTCATGTTCACCCTTTCTACTATAAGCCCTCCAGTAGGCTATAGTCTGCTCCTGTTTTATATCTTTAGTGTGTAGCACAGTGTCTGATTAACAGTAGGGATTCAATAAAATTTTATCAAATTTTATATATTGGTTTTTATTTGTTCCATCAAATATACCCTCTAAATTATGTCCATATTTAATATATTAAAACGTTTAGAAAAACATGTTTTAAAATAGTCTTCATTACACACTTACATGACCGTGTTTATTGAGAAAACTGTTGTGGACAGAACGACTCTTTAATTTGACCAACAAGTCTTTGTGATCCAGCCTTTATCTCAGACTTCATCTCCCACCATTTACATTGATACATAATTATTACCCAAAGTCCATAGTTTACATTAGGGTTCACTCTTGGTGTTTATACTTTCTTTGGGTTTTGAGAAATGTATAATGACATGTATCCACCTTTATAGTATCCTACAGAATAGTTTTCACTGCCGTAAAAGTCCTCAGTGCTGTGCCAGTACATCCCTCCCTCCTCCTGACCCCTGGCAACCACTGATCTTTTTACTGTCTCCATCGTTTTGCCTTTTCCCACTGTGTCATTTGGAATCATACAATATATTTCAGATTGGCTTCTTTCACTTAGTAATGTACATGTAAATTTTCTCCATGTCTGTTCATGGCTTGATAGCTCATTTCTTTTTCTTTCTTTTTTTTAAATTGTTAAAAAACATAATATAAAATTTACTCTCTTAACCATCTTTAAGTGTATAGTTTTGTCGTGTTAACTGTATTTATATTCTTGTATAACATCTCTAGGACATTTTCATCTTGTAAAACTAAAATTCTATACTCATTGAAGAACTCTCCAGATTTCCCTCCCTCCAGCTCCTGACAACTACCATTCTACTTTCTATTTCCATGATTTTGACTACTCTAGATATCTCACATAAGTGGAGTCATACAGTATTTGTTCTTTTGCAGCAGCTTATTTCACTCAGCATAATGTCCTCAAGTTTCATCCATGTTGTAGCATGTAATAGTATTTCCTTCTTTATTTTTTTAAGGCTGAATAATATTCCATTGTATATGTACACTATGTTCCCTTTATCCATTTATCTGTTAATGGACATTTGAGCTGCTTCCACCTCTTGGCTGTTGTGAATAATGCTGCAATGAATATGGGTGTACACATATCTCTTCAAGACGGTGCTTTAAATTCTTTCAGTTCTTTTAGGAATATACCTAGAAGTGGAAGAGGCCTTCCTCTTTGACTAGAAATTTTGTCTTTGGACTTCCTGGTCTAAAAATAGGTCCCTCACCCCTCTCACTCAGTACATCCTTATCCTGTTCAATTTTTCTTACTAATACTTGACTTTATAATTTATGTATTTGTCTCTCATAGTAGAATGTTAGTTCCATGAGATTAGGAACTTTGTTTTATCCACTATTTTATCATTAGAACTCATACTAGTGCCTTGCACATAGTAGGTACTTAATAATAAAAATTGAAGGGATGAATAAATTGGATAAAATGGAAAATTTGTAGTAAATGTGCCTGCATTTAAATATCTTTTTTGTTGTTGTTTGATTTTCATTTTTTCTCTTCCCCTTTCTATTTTCAGAATATGAGTGATGCTATGGCAGTACTGCACAAACTACAGACAGGCTTGGATGTAAATGTAAAATTCACTGGTGTTCGAGTGTTTGAATATACACCAGAATGCATAGTATTTGATCTTCTTGATATTCCTTTGTACCATGGATGGCTAGTGGACCCTCAGGTAAGTAGAAAATCTTAAATTATATGAACACAAATATAGTAAAAATCTATTAATTTGGCAAATTAATCTAGATTTATATTTTCTGATACTTATGTTTTTGTGCTTTTACATGAAATTAGCCATATTGTGAGGTTAAGAGCACAGTCCTCCAGACTGGTAAATCTGCCTAAGACTTCTGACTATAATTTCATGGAGTTAGAGGCCAACTACAAAGCTGAGTCCACATCCTCATCAACACTTGTTATTGTCTATCTTTTTGATTACAGCCATCCTAGTAGGTGTAAAGTTGTATCTCATTGTGGATTGTTTGCATTTCTCTAATGACTAATGATGTTGATCATCTTTTCATGTGCTTATGAGCCATTTGTATATCTTCTTTAGAGAAATATCTGCAGATCTCTTGCCCATTTTTAATTGGGCTATTTGTCTTTTTGTTACTGGGTTCTAAGAGTTCTTTGTATACTTATAATATATAAAGTATGTAAGTATAGAGTATATAGTTTTAGTGCTTAATTTAGGAGTATGATCCATTTTGAGTTGATTTGTATATATAGTTTGGGGAAGGGATCCAACGTTATTCTTCTGCATGTGGATATTCAGTTATACCAGCCCCATTTGTTGAAAAGGTTATTCTTCCCCCCAGTGAATTGTCTTGGCAGTCAGAGTGATCTTTGTGAAATAAACCCTCCCCTTTATCCCTGCGCCCTACCCTTTTCCTTAAAAGCCTCCAGTGTAACTAAAATAAGATACAAAATCTTTTTTTTTTTTTTTTTACTTTTTATTGGCGTATAGTTGACTTACAATGTTGTGTTGGTTTCAGGTGTAAAGCAAAGTGAATCAGTTATACATGTACATATATCCACTCTTTTTAGATTCTTTTCCCATATAGGCCATTAGAGAGTACTGAGTAGAGTTCCCTGTGCTATACAGTAGGTTCTTATTAGTTATCTATTTTATATATAGTAGTGTGTATATGTCAATCCCAATCTCCCAATTTAACCCTCCCCCCACTTTGGCCCCTGGTAACCATAAGTCTGTTTTCTACATCTGTGACTCTGTTTCTGTTTATTTTAAATTTTATTATTTATTTATTTTTGGCTGTGTTGGGTCTTCATTACTGTGTGTGGGCTTTCTCTAGTTGTGGCAAGTGGGGGCTACTCTCTGTTCCCACACGTGGGCTTCTCATTGCAGTGGCTTCTCTTGTTGCGGAGCACGGGCTGTAGGCGTGCAGGCTTCAGTAGCACGCAGGCCCTAGAGCACGCAGGCTTCAGTAGTTGCGGTGCATGGGCTCCGTAGTTGTGGCTTGCAGGCTCCAGAACACAGGCTCAGTAGTTGTGGCACACGGGCTTAGTTGCTCCACGGCATGTGGGGTCTTCCCAGATCAGGGCTCGAACCCGTGTCCCCTGCATTGGCAGGCGAATTCTTAACCACTGCACTACCAGGGAAGTCCTTTATTTCTATTTTGTAAATAAGTGCATTTGTAACATTTTTTTAGATACTACATATAAGCGACATCATATGATATATGTCTTTATCTGACTTACTTCAGTCAATATGACAATCTCTGGGTCCATCCATGTTGCTGCAAATGGCATTATTTCGTTCTTTAAAGTAAGATACAAAATATTTATTAGAGTTTTTTTTTTTTTTTTAAAGAAGATGTTGGGGGTAGGAGTTTATTAATTAATTTATTTATTTTTGCTGTGTTGGGTCTTTGTTTCTGTGCGAGGGCTTTCTCTAGTTGTGGCAAGCGGGGGCCACTCTTCATCGCAGTGCGCGGGCCTCTCACTATCGCGGCCTCTCGTTGCAGAGCACAGGCTCCAGATGCGCAGGCTCAGTAGCTGTGGCTCATGGGCCTAGTTGCTCTGCGGCATGTGGGATCCTCCCAGACCAGGGTTCGAACCCGTGTCCCCTGCATTAGCAGGCAGATTCTCAACCACTGCGCCACCAGGGAAGCCCCTTTATTAGAGTTTTTATGATATACTGCGTGATCTAGACTCTGCCTCCTGTCAAACTTCACCTCATATAATTCTCCCACCTTTTTACTACCCTCCAACAACACCAGCTGCCTTTCTATTTTTCAGACATACCAAGCTCATTTCTAGCTCGGGTTTTTGTACTAGCTGATTGCCCACTGTGGAGCGCTGTTTTACTACCCTAACACATTGTTCTCCCAGATCTCCCCATTTCTACTTCCTCATATTTCAGGTCTTAGATCAGATATCACCTTGTTAGAGAGGCCTTCGCTTGTTGAAATGAGTCACCCTCTTTTCCCCCAGTCATTATCTAGAATTATTATTTATTTATTTACTTGATTGACTCTCATCTCCCAGTAGAGTGTATGTTTTTGGGTTTTTTTAATTGATTAATTTATTTATTTCATTTATTATTACTATTATTTTGGCTGCGTTGCCTCTTCATTGCTGTGCATGGTCTTTCTCTAGTTGCAGCGAGCAGGGGCTACTCTTCGTTGCAGTGCGCAGACTTCTCATTGTGGTGGCTTCTCTTGTTGCAGAGCATGGGCTCTAGGCATGCGGGCTTCAGTAGTTGTGGCATGCAGGCTCAGTAGTTGTGGCTTGTGGGCTCTAGAGTGCAGGCTTAGTAGTTGTGGTGCACGGGCTTAGCTGCTCTGCAGCATGTGGGATCTTCCCGGACCAGGGATCGAACCCGTGTCCCCTGCACTGGCAGGCGGATTCTTAACCACTGCGCCACCAGGGAAGTCTCAGTGTATGTTTTATAAGAGCTGGGCTCTTATTTCTCATTGTTAAGAACAGTGCCTGGAACATAGTAGGTTCTCAATAGATATTAACTGATGGAATGAAACATGCATACATGCATTATGTATAGGGGAGGAGAGATCATAATAGCAAGGATTTGGTAGTGTTTCTTCATCCCTGTCCTTTGGTAGAAGTAACTGGTATTCTGGGCAGTGAAAGGGTGGCTTACTGTAAGCAGGGCATCTGTATTTTTTTGGGCACTCTGTCTCTGAGAACATCACTGAAAAGTCTAAACATGTCCAGCATCTGAAACCTCCAAGGTGCGTCATGTTGGATCCTGGCAGATGGCAATGCCAGGTAGCCTAGATTCTTGAGGAGGATGAACTTATGACCTAAGGAACTTAAGCCTGAGTTTTTAAAAACTGGACTCAGATCATCCCTCTGACTGTATGTGTAGCTACATATTGCCTGGCAAACAGTTGAATTCATATGCTTAAAGAAAAAAAGGCACTCTAATATAGGACAGAAAATTTTCATCAGACTTTTCTGGTCTACACAGTGGTTTTCAAACTCTTCGGCCTGAGAGCTGTGCTTTTTATCTATTTTACTTACTTGTTTTGTGACAGAAGGATTCTGATGCTGAGAAAGAAAAAAGAACAAGGCAAAACTTGAAATCTGTAGGTCTCTATGAAATATCTCTTAGAACTGGCTAGTTCTTTGTATTATGATTATGTGTACTGCAAATAATTATCTTGCAAATAAATGTCAGTCATTTTCTGGATGGTGGGCCGGCACCATAGTTCAGCCACGGGAAGGTGTTTCTCCATTATTAATTGATAATTAACTCTTTAAGAGCAGCATTGGGGCCTTCCCTGGTGGCGCAGTGCTTAAGAATCCGCCTGCCAATGCAGGGGACGTGGGTTCAAGCCTCGGTCCAGGAAGATCCCACATGTGGCGGAGCAACTAAGCTCACGAGCCACAACTACTGAAGCCCGCCTGCCTAGAGCCTGTGCTCTGCAACGAGAGAAGCCACTGAAATGAGAAGCCCAGGTACCACAACAAAGTGTAGCCCCCACTTGCCACAACTAGGGAAAGCCCACGTGCAGCAACAAAGACCCAACTCAGTCTAAAATAAATAAACTAATAATTTTTTTAAAAAATTAATTAATTAATTAATTTATGGCTGTGTTGGGTCTTCGTTTCTGTGCAAGGGCCTTCTCTAGTTGTGGCAAGCGGGGGCCACTCTTCATCGCGGTGCGCGGGCCTCTCACTATCGCGGCCTCTCTTGTTGCGGAGCACAGGCTCCAGACGCGCAGGCTCAGTAATTGTGGCTCACGGGCCCAGTTGCCCCGCGGCATGTGGGATCTTCCCAGACCAGGGCTCGAACCCGTGTCCCCTGCATTGGCAGGCAGATTCTCAACCACTGCGCCACCAGGGAAGCCCCTCAACAAATTTTTAAGGATTTAAAATATATGAAGTACAGAATAGTCTCTGACCACAATGCAATTAAACTAGAAATCAGAAAAAACAGTAGAGACTGTCTGGATCAAAAAATCATAATGAAACTTAAAGTATATTTTAAACTACACAACAACTAAATATCAAAACTTGTGAGATTTAGCTGAAACAGTTTTTTTTTTTTAGCTAAAACAGTTTTTAAAGGGGTTTTTAAAGCCCTAAAATCGAATATTAAGGAATAATGAGACTGAAAATTAATGAGCTTTATATCTATCTTAAGAGCAAAAGTATTAAAATAGAAAGTAAATATATAATAAAGAAGATTAACAAAGCTAAAATTCTTCAAAAAGGACTTGAAGAGACACTTCACAAAAATGGATACCCAAATGACCAGTGAACGTATGAACTAGTCATCAGGGAAATGCAAATTAAAACCTAAATGAGATACGACTACACACCCATCAGAATGGCTGACATTTAGAAGTCTGACAATACTAAATATTGGAGAAGATATGCAGTATAGAGAATTTTCATTCCATGCTAATGATAATGTAAATTGACCACCTCCTTTGGAAAGCAGTTTGGAGTTATCTAGTAAAGTTGAGGATAAGACTCAAGAATTTGATAAGGCAAATTCCCTAGAGAAACTAGATTTGTGAAACAGGATAAATGTACAGGAATGTTCATAGCAGTATTATTTGTCATCGCCCCAAACTGAAAACAACTTGAATAGCCATCAAAAGATGAATGAATAAATGTATTATAGTATATTCATACTATGGAATGCTATAGTACAATGGAAACAAAGAACAGCTGCATACCACTGCATACAACTACCTAGTATGTTATATTTTTGCTTATTTGGTTTATTGTTTGTTCTTTCTCTAGAATATAAACTTTATGAAAGCATAGACCCTCTATTTTATTCACTGCTGAGTCTTCAGTTTCTCTAACAGCACCTGGTGCATAGTAGTGCATAAAAGGCATCCAAATGAATTAATTGAATGAAATATTAATGTAGAGATCCTGCCTATGAAATTTGAAATCTTTGTATTTTTCATTGCTAGTCTATAGTAGTACAACTGATTTTTATATATTGATCATGTATTTATTATTCTAGGTGTATTTTTGTGGATTCCTTAGGATTGAAAATTCAGTTCTTTGGAAAGACAATGAAGTTGAGTCACTAAAGAAAATTGCTGTAATCAGTAAAGTTGTTACAAAAAATAATGAAAATTTAAAGGGATTGTGTTCTCAAACTGCTTCTTAAGGGTCTAAGTTTTTATTTTAAATAAATGAAAACTGAAAGGCATATTCTTTTGTGTCATTTACCTAGAATCATAGCCAAAAGATCCACTTTCAAAGAAACGGCCTTATTTGGCTCTGTATCAGAAGGTTGACAAGTGAATACATTTGTGTGTTTTAAGCTAACATGAACTGTTTAAGATATGTATGTAACATTTTCCACAGTTTCCTGCTTTAATTTATTCAATTAACTGATCTTCAGCCAACCGTCAGTCCCACTTGGATGGTTAAGAGGCTTTTACCATCCTTGAATTTTGCAGGAACAACGAAAAATTATAACCTAGAGAAGTTGTTCTTAAACTTTGCTAGGCAGCAGTGGAATGAAAACTTAGGCACTTGAGAAACAACTTGAGTTTTGAATTCTTTTAGCTTTTTAAAAAGCTCCCAGTTTGAAAACCACTGTCCTTACTATTGTGCAGATCTGTCAATTCTTGTGGTATTCAAAGAGTAGATATTCATGAAGATCATTTGGATGTGGAAAAAAAACATGGCCTGTCTTATTTTTTATTTCATTGTATCAATTTGTGTTAATTAATATTAATTAATAAAGTACATGTAAATAATTTACAAATAAATATATTTTAGGGATGGGAGGGCAATCAAAGTAAGTTTAGACAGCAGATATCTATTTTGCTTCAATAGTAAAAGCAAAGTATATGGAAGGAGAGTAGAGATGCCCAATTTTATTTTCTTATACCTTAAAACTTTGAATTTATTTTTCTACTGTACCTTCACAGACAAAGATCAAATAAGAATCATGAGGCAAATATTTTCCCTTATTAATATATATTAACTTTTGTTTAGGGAAATAACATTAGTTATGTCTGTTCATATCTCCACTATGCTAGAAACTAAGTAACAAATAAAATGGGAAACCCTGTTTATCCCATAAATTAACATCTTTTAGATTTGCCTTGCTTTACAATCTTTTTTATAAATTTTTTAAAATTTTATTTTATTTATTTATTTACTTTTGGCTGTGTTGGGCTTTCTCTAGTTGGGGTGAGCGGGGGGCTACTCTTTGTTGCGGTGCACGGGCTTCTCATTGCAGTGGCTTCCCTTGTTGCAGAGCATGGGCTCTAGGCCAGCGGGCTCAGTAGTTGTGGCTTGAGGGCTCTAGAGCGCAGGCTCAGTAGTTGTGGCGCACGGGCTTAGTTGCTCCACCGCATGTGGGATCTTCCTGGACCAGGGCTCGAACCCGTGTCCCCTGCATTGGCAGGTGGATTCTTAACCACTGCGCCACCAGGGAAGCCCGCCTTGCTTTACAATGTTAAGAAATAAAGTTGCATATAATAATTCCATTTTATTAGTTATTGAATAATTGAAATATGGCTAAGCAATATTGTTCATAATATGTTATTGTGAACCATAAACAAAACTGGAAACTGTTGGGTGTTGATTTTAGTGCTGATTTTCTTTTTTCATAAGTAATACTTTTATATTTAGTATTATATTAGAATAAAACCCTCAAGAGTTATATGGGTTTCTTTGTTATTGTTTTTAATTTTATCATGATTAGTGAGACAGTCATTTGTTTTGTAGATTGATGACATTGTAAAAGCTGTTGGTAACTGCAGCTACAACCAGCTAGTGGAGAAGATCATCTCTTGTAAGCAGTCAGACAACAGTGAGCTGGTTAGTGAAGGTGGGTGAGTGTTGCTATTATCTGACTTATTCTTGGCAAAGTAACTTGTCTTAAAATTTAATGTCTTTTAAATGTCTTAAATACAACTTCTAAAAAATAAAAGTGATTCTACCTATGAGAATTAAAAGAAGTAATTATTCATAAAGGTACCAGTGAAAGGTTTTTCCTAGAACCCTTTTTACTTGTTTTGTAAAATCACTCCTGGATTCTAATAAAAGTCTTTGGAATCACTTGCTATCTTTGATATAATCAGTTACCCAGGGGTTACTGATAATTACTCTTTTAAAAAAGGGTTATTATTTGGGAGTACTGAGGGAACTTTATAATTCATCTTGAACACTTCTGTTGACTGAGATGTATATTATGGTACTCAAGTGTTCATTTTAGTAGAGCTCTACCTTATATTTCAGTACAATATAGTATATTAAAGCTCTATTCTGGATCAGAGTACACCTTTGATCATCAGTTTCCCTAATCCTTAGCTAAAATTAAAAATTGCTAAATTCATCAGCATAGAAGTGTTTTTTGTGTGTTTGTTTGTTTGTTTTTTAAGCTGTGTTCCAGTCAGTGAAGGGAAGAGCAGATTTGAAACCAGAGTGCTATCAGGAACCATAGCATTTGGGTATAACTTCACCATCACCCACTTCACTTTTTCATAAATATACACAAATACTGAGACTGCTGTTCTCCTCAGTTTGAAGGGTTAACAAAAGAAAGAGAAATCGTGAGAAGCAGACACACAGTTCTTTCTCATGAGGTATAATAAAAATTTATTATCGTCACTACATTTAAAAAAATTAAAACCAAGTGACTACAAGAGTCCCTAAGAACATATAAAAGAAGATGTGTACGTGAATCTCATACTATATTGATTAATAAGAACCCAACTAATTACACTACTCAATTATCCAGAAGTTTAACATGTTTATGCAAGAGGCCAGTAGCAGGAAAATACACAGTGAGTTAGTTGAGGCTCATCTAGTCTTTTACTTGCAGTAAACACACAGATATTCAGCAATATTGATCATTGATTTGTGTGACGCCTCTTTCACTACAACCTAAGGCAGCAAAGTTTAAATTTTAGGGGAGAGAGGAGCAACAAAAGTTGTTACTAAAAATGTTTTCCCTCAGTTGACAAAATTCCACTCACTAGAACTTTCCATTCTTTATCCAAGCTCTCGTTACTGTAAATATTCTTAGAAAGCAGGCTATAAAGAAAGTATCCATCTGTGGATTCCTACTTTCTCAGTAACTTTCAGTATGCTATTCAATAGTAATTGAGAGAAAAATAGGGTCCAGAAAGTGTTAACAGATGGAATGATAGCCAATAAGTGATATTTGGATGAATATATTTATAAGGTAAGAAGCTATGGGAAACACTAATGTTGACAGCATTTTCACCAAGCTAGGCTGCAATGTAACAGGGGTAGGACTTATTACACTAGCAGAATGAACAACAACCAAAAAACAGTCCCTTCATCACTTCTCCTTTTTCTCAACGTGGTTTTACAACTATTATTATTATTTCTCTGGTATTGAATCCCTGGGATAATAAAAAACTGTAGCTAATTTGTATAGAATTGATAACTTGAGAAGAATATCTTGGTAAAAGCAAGTAGGAATCTTCCTCTTTAGTGGTATAGAATTTTCAGGTAATATATATCAGAGCTGATTAATGCCTTGATATATAAATTTCATAATGGTGAAATTCTGCTTATCATATTTCCATACATAGTCAAGGAAAAATTATATATGAAATTCAGTACAATTAAAAAGCTAAACTCGTTTTTTGTTTATAAGAAATTACAAATATGTAGTCTGCTTGAAATAAGTATTCAATCCCAATGGCTACTTGTATAAGGCACTATGAAATCATTAAGGAAATAAAAGGCCACAATGGACATTTTTTCTTATATAATATAGCAATTAGCTTTTTTTCCATTTTCTTCATCATATTTTCTTGGGTATATTGTTCAACCAAAGTAGTCTGCTTTCTTTTTCTGTTTAGCCTACAACTGTAACTTTCCTCCTGAATCATAAAATATCCCAAAGTGGTTTATTTCTAATCTTTCTTTATTAAAAATTATTAAACTTTGGTCTGAGATGATTTTTAAAAAATTCAAATATTTCATCTCCATAAGGTGCAGAATACAAGAAATATGTTTACTATCATTCTTTTTTGATGAAAAAGAAATATTATTTAGTTAATAGTCAAATAGAATTAGATATTCTTTCAGCTTCTTTCAGAGAACATTTATTTTTTTCTGGTGGCAATACCTTGTAAGTAAAAGTACAGAACTTTTACATGTACATAGAATATTTATTACTTGCTACCTACCTCTTTTGAATATTAATACTTTTTTGAATCAAGTTATAATGATGGGTTGTGGCATGGCAGCAAAAATCAACAAGGAAAAAAATAGCACAGTACCAGTTTCCAGACTTCACGATAACTGGTCATTTAATTCCAGAAGATCTCTCAGGAATAATTTCTTCTTTAACAATTGTTTCTAGGTAAAAAAAAAATATGCTTAAGGAAATTATTCCAGCCTATTCACTTATTCGAGCTCACTTATTGAGCTTTTATTATGTGCCATAAACGCTGAAGATTATAGTTTGAGTTCATATTATTTTTGATTAAATAATATTGATTTCCTTTTTCTCTTTATTTTGGAAAAACTCAAACCCATAAAATTGGAATAGCACAATGAATATATGTATCTATATACATATTTGTACATATATATGTTTCATCTAAATTCACCAATTATTAGCATATTGAATTTTTACTTTCTGTATTCACACACAATTTTTTTCCTAAATCATGACAATTAATTGCAAATATTATAGCACTTTATCCATTAACTCTCCAATATTTGTCTCCTAAGAACAAAGAATTTTCCTGTGTAATCACAATGCAGTTATCTCAGAAAATTTAACATTGATACGATACTATTATCTAATATACTGTTTATATTCAGAATTCCCCAGTTGTCCCAGTAATGCCCCTTATAGCTTTTAAGTTTTTTCAGTGTAAATTTCAATCAAGTATCATTTAATTATCATATCAATTTAGTCTCCTGTAATCTAGAACAGAAGATCCCTATCCTTTTTTCTTTTCTTTTCTTTTCTTTTCTTTTTGGTCTTTTGTGGTATTTACTTTTCTTTATAGTCCAGGCTGGTTGTTTTATAGAATAGTCCTCAATCTGGATTCATCTGATTGTTTCCTCATTAGTAGATTTGGGTTATATATTTTCCTTGGGAATACTACATAGGCGACATTGTGTCTTTCCTAGTGCATCAAATCAGGTGGCACGTGATGTCTGACTATCCCATTGTTGGTGATGTTCAAATAGGATTAAGGTGATATTTACCAGATTTTTTGTTGTTAGAAAGATGCCCTTTGCCATTTGTAATTAATAAGTAATCTCTGATATTATGTTTTGAAACTCCATAATTTGTTTAGTTACGAAAAGTTGAAACTAGATTAGGCTTTTGAATATGCCACTAAAATCACACAGGTGTCACTGTTTACAAGTTGGTAGAAGAATTAGGAAACATTTTTCTCTCTAAGTCTAAATTAGTCTATGCTCTGTGGTTTGGGGAGAAATAGAGTTCAGTTTGCATTTATAATAATCAGCACTACATTTTATAAATTAATACCAGTTAAGTTCCAGTCTTCACTTTGCCATAACTAGTTTTATGTCCTTGAGCAAGTCACTTATTCTCTCTGAATCCATGTCCTGTTCTCTAGAAACAAGCAGCTGAGAAAGACTTTTCTAGTATTAAATTTTTGAATTTCATACATGAAAGTAACATTGTGCTATATCTCCACTGAATTTTTGTATCTTTTTGAAAGGGTTTTGTAGAGAGTATGTTGTATGAATGAGGTATGGGAGGGACATTTAGAAACATCTTTCTGAAGGAAGCGTTTAGTTACATGGATATTATAGACAGCAGTGGTACTTCTCAGCACAGGCATAATGCTTACTTTTTAAATGCTATATAAGAGAAAATGTTTTAGTATATAACTAATACATTCTCAATAACTTAGCATTTAGCAAAGTAATGATAATTGAGGAGGGGTCTTATTTCTAAATGTATAAAGCCAGGAAGTTGCAAATGAGCTATAAATTTCCTTTGGCTGTGGCCTTCTGTATAACTTTTTGTACTTCCCATCCTACATTACCAATTCCTTGGAACAGTGTGATATATTGGTAACTTTTTACAACCACTTTGCAGCTTGAAGTGCTATGGCTTGACACTAAAAGTGAGGGAGTGGAATAAATCTATATCATGCAGCTGCCTCTGGCCCTACCAAGTTTCTACCAAGTTTATTTTCAATTTTTTGTTGAGTCATCAGTTTATTAACACAGATTCATCTTTACTCCCTATATCTGCACCTCCCTGCTCACTTACAAAACTTTTTAGAGCATTCTCCTCCCCTCTATTCCTTTTTAAAGAAAGGGAGCAAAAGGAGGAAGGAAGAGGAAGAAGGAAAGAGAGAAATATAGGCTTTTGAAATATTTATAAAACTGATTCTCATTATTACTGATAGTTATGTTCCATAAAGTTGCTGTGAACACTGAATTAGTGAATACCAAACCACTGCTCATAGGGGAAACACAACATTAGGTTCCTGTGAGCCTCTGGTCACAAGATTTTCATCAACTTATCAATACATAACCTTGTTTTTCATGTGTTTCTGTTGAGAGACACCTTATTTTTTTTTAACATCTTTATTGGAGTATAATTGCTTTACAATGGTGTGTTAGTTTCTGCTTTATAACAAAGTGAGTCAGCTATACATATACATATATCCACATATCTCCTCCTATCCTCCCTGTCCCACCCCTCTAGGTGGTCACAAAGCATGGAGTTGATCTCCCTGTACTATGCGGCTGTTTCCCACTAGCTATCTGTTTTACATTTGGTAGTATATATAAGTCCATGCCACTTAGAGACACCTTGTTTAATATATATTATTGATTCAGTAACATTAAACTCATATCCAACAGCTTCATGCCCGGCTGAAGCTGCAAAAATATGCATTGTCTCTATAAGGCACATCACAACCTTTGTGTGCTTAGGAACACCAGCTTCAGCATTATGCTTGGGGGACATTTTACACAGTAAAAATCACTCCAAAGAAGCACAAAAATTTCACAAAATGTGATAAATGTGGCATTATATAGAATGTGAAAATGACATTTGTTCACAGTACGAGAGCTGAAACAAGAAGGTGGCACACTGTTGCCTATTTTGACTTCAGTGGGGAATGTGTGTGTTGGGTGACTCAATTTTTTTGCTGCTTTGCACATATTCAGGAATGACCCTGAAAGTGCAACAAGTATTGATGTTTGGAGTTACAAATTTTAGATAATAGGCAAATTAGCGTATATGAACCCGTGTGAATAATGAGGATCAACTGTATGTATAGCTTTTAAAGTAAACCCCAGAAGGTTTCTTTATATTTCATTATGTTTGAAAACAGAAGAGATGATTTCTATTTCTGAACTTGATATATCTACATAATAAGTAGCATATGTTGGAGGAGATTAGGATAAAAATGTCATCAGTTACCCCACTGTTTTCTGTTCAGTCTTATGCCTACTTTTAGTTTTAAGGCAAGAATTGAGCAGTTTGTGAATTGAAAATTATCTGGGATCTTTGTCAAAATCTTAACTCAATTTCTTGAGGCTACTTTTAATTTCTAAACACCTATCCATTGGGGAAGTAGTTGTTGACTTGCTAACCCTTACCTTCTTATTGTTTTATTGGGTCTTAGTTTTATTGTGTGTGTTTCTTCTATTGCAAGGCACATGAAATCCTTTGTGGAAGTAGGTGTGGTATAAGTAAATACATTTATTGATAAAAAGAATTTCAGATAACTGTTTCTTTAGCCTGGAAATGTCTATAGACACATCTTCCATCGCAGAATTAGAAAAAAAAATCTCCAATTTAGGGCCATCATGTTATAGTAGGAGGAGTCTTATTTTGATTGGCCTTTCTTCATACTTGGAACACAATGTAAATAGAAGAACTTTAAAATTTTGAAATTATTCTTCCATCTAATATTATGCATTGGTTCCTAGGCTTTGTAGCTGAGCAGTTTCTAAATAACACAGCCACTCAACTGACATACCATGGATTATGTGAACTAACTTCAACGGTTCAGGAAGGAGAACTTTGTGTGTTCTTTCGGAATAATCATTTTAGCACCATGACCAAATACAAGGTATGATATAGAAATAGCTACTGTTATTCTAAACTAAAGGAGCTTGATTTAGAGATGTCTTATGATCTGCTTCAAAATAAAAAATTTTAGCATAATATTCTTTAACCATCAAATTATGAAGGTAATAATTAATTCCTTAGGGTGGAATGGATTAGCAATTTGTTACTTAAAATCAGTTTTTTTTTAATTTAGGTCTCAACTCCATTTTCACAGATTACTGCATTAAAATGTATTTATTATTTTCTTTCTAAGGAAAAAAAAAGATAAGCCCTAATGTTAGAACTAGGATGACTGCTAATGATGGATGTTTACATTTGAGGGCTAAAGGAGTTTAGAGAAAGAATCAAGATTTGTCTTTATGATAGTGTTTCTATTATTAAGTTACCAGTGTGACTTTAAATTCTTTTTATCATGTCACTTATGGCTTTGCCAAAAAAATCTTACTGATTCATCCCTCTTGTTATCTCTTCAATGCTTCCATTTTTACAGCTGCCACCTAATACAGGAGTTTATCAGCTTATCTCTAGACTTCTGTGGCAGAATACTCCTCTGATCAGGTCAATAATATTGCAAAAATGTTAGTAGCACCCAGTGCCTAGAGGATAAAAATGCAAGGTATTTTCTACTATCCCCTTGTGTCAACACTTTGCTTCAGCCATAATGATCTGCCTACTCATTAATAGTCCTCCATCCCCATACACAGTTTATGCTTTCCCATTTTGTTTCTTACTCCTAATCCCTATGTGAGCATTCTCACTCCTTTTTGCCTATCCAGATTTCACCTATCTTTTAAGAAATATTTTAAATACTAACTTCAGTAAAGCTACTTCTTCTCTCCTTAAATCAGTGGTTCTCAACCCAGATTGTATGCTAGAGCTGCCTACGGAGCTATTAAAAAAATACCAATGCCCAGAGCCCAACACCAACTCAATTAAATCAGAATGTATAGAGGTGAGACCTGAGCAACAGTATTTTTAAAATGTTTTCCAGGTGATTTAAATATGCAGCTAAGGCTGTGGATCACTACTCTACCCTTCCTCCTTTACTTGTTATGGGCCATATTGTCCCTACTTTGCCCTTATTGATGAGTACCTAGTTAACAATTTTCTTTCCATGTAAATGTGTCTCATTTTTCTAAATGAAAGTAGGCTTATTGAAGTCAGGAATCTGACTTTGTATTTCCTTCAACACTTTAATCAGTGAATTGCACAAAGTAGTGTAAAATAATGATTTGTTTGCTTATTTAAGAATACCGTATAGCCCTAGCTCTCCTGCTCCCCTGTTAGTTATAGCAAGGGTTTGTTTGTATTGTTCCCATATTTAAGCTAGATGTGTGCTAGGTATGGGCCCAGATTTATCCATATTCCTCAAAAATCTAAGGCCAAAGAACCACAAAATCAGAATTATTGCTACATAATAAATACTGCTAAGTCATCTCACTTTACCTGATCTCTTTAAGTCCACACTTTATTCATTCATTCAGCAAATATTTATTGAGCATGATTATGACTGGGTACTTAGCTAAGTATTAGGACTGCAGCCTGAGCAAGGCAGCTATAGTTCCTGCCATTTAAGGACCTCCTAGTTTGACAAGGGACAGATGTTAAATAATTACACAAGTAGGTATCATTTCTATTGAGATACACTCTGTGAAGGGTACCTACAACATGCTGTGAGTACTTTTATTAGGACTTATAACCTATTTGAAGATGTCAGGAAAAAACGGGGGTGGTGCGGTTAACTAAGCAGATGGAACATGTGTGCAGAAGCCCTGAGGAGGGAAATAACCTAACTTTTTAAGGAATTCGAAGAAGGGCTATGTGACTGAAGCATAGAAAATAAGAGGCATGATGTAAGGCTCAAGAGGCATGATGTAAGGCTCAAGAGATAGATATCAGATCTTGTAGAGTCCTAAGTTAAAAGGAGGAATAGGGAATTCTCTGGCAGTCCAGTGGTTAGGACTTGGCACTTTCACTGCCAGGGCCCGGGTTCAGTCCCTGGTCAGGGAACTAAGATCCCACAAGCCATGCTGTGTGGCCAAAAATAAATAAATAAATGAATGAATGAATGAGAGAAATAGACTTTGGTCTCTTGATGGCCTAGTCGTTCTTTTTGTTCTCTCTCTCTCTCTCTATTTTTTTTTTTTTTCTCCACAGGGGTAAGATAGTTCAATTGAGAAAACAACGTCTCTGGCTGTCATGAGTGGTTGTCTTACAACTTTCCAAAATTGAGCTTTAGACGTTCTCTCTCTTTTTTTTTTTTAATCAAGGCCATATCCCTGACCTGGAAGTCCTTTACTAGTCACCTAGGTATTCGCAATCTTCCTGTGTGGTTGGGAAGGGTGCGCCTCTCCTGGAGCACTTTCTGCATTGGGTCTGTTTCTGGACTGAATATGCATTTCCATGAGATAATGATAGCAGAGAGAATGTGTGTATTCTGCTATTTCTCACTTCTAAGTTTTTCTCAGTAAACCTTATTCTGTAGCTAAACAGTGTATCACTAGTATGTGTCTCCCTGCCCCTTGTATAACATTAAGGTGCTTTGGACTTCGGGGCAAGCCCCAAGAGCCAGTTTTTTGAAAGGATAAACAAAATCGACAAACTTCTAGCCAGGCTCTCCAAGAAGAAAAGAGAGAAGACCCAAGTAAACAAAATAAGAAATGAAAGAGGAGAATTAATGCCAATACTGCAGAAATACAAAAAAATCATAATAAATACTATGAATAGTTATATGCCAACAAATTGGGACAACCTAGAAAAAAATGGACAAGTTTCTATAAACATACAGCTTGCCAAAGCTGAGTCAAAATAATTTGGGGCTTCCCTTGTGGTGCAGTGGTTAAGAATCTGCCTGCCAATGTAGGGGACATGGGTTCGAGCCCTGGTCTGGGAAGATCCCACATGCCGCAGAGCAACTAAGCCCATGTGCCACAACTGATGAGCCTGCACTCTATAGCCCATGTACCACAACTACTGAAGCCCGTGCGCCTAGAGCCCATGCTCCACAACAAGAGAAGCCACTGCGATGAGAGGCCCATGCACCACAACGAAGAGTAGCCCCTGCTTGATTCAACTAAAGAAAGCCTGCATATAGCAATGAAGACCCAAGGCAGCCAAAAATAAATAAATTAATTTTTAAAAAAATATAATTTGAACAGACTGATCACTAGAAGTGAAACAGAATCTGTAAATTAAAAAAAAAAAAAACGAAAAAACAAAACCCAAAAAACCCCCTGCAAACAAAAGTCCAGAACCAGATGGCTTTACTGGGGAATTCTACCAAACATACAAAGAGCTTATTCTTCTCCAACTATTCCAAAAGATTGAAGAGGAGGGAACACTACCGAAGTCATTCTGTGAAGTCACCATCACCCTGATACCAAAAATCACACAAAGACACCACAAAAAGAAATTACAGGCCAATATCTTTGATGAATATAGTTGCAAAAATCCTCAACAAAGTATTAGCAAACTGAATCCAACAATACATAGAAAGGATCATACACCATGATCAAGTTGGATTCATTCCAGGGTTTCAAGGATGTTTCAAACACATGCAAATCAATTAATGTGATGCACCAAATCAACAAAAGAAAAGACAAAAACCAAATGATCTTCTCAATAGATGCAGAAAAAGCATTTGATAAAATTCAACATCGATTCATGGTAAAAACTCACACCAAAATGGGTACAGAGGGAACACATCTCAACAATAAAAGCCATTTATGGGACTTCCCTGGTGGTCCAGTGGCTAAGAATCTGCCTTCCAACGCAGGGGAGGCAGGTTCAATCCCCGGTTGGGGAACTAAGATCCCACATGCTGCAGGGCAGCTAAGCCTGTGCACCACAACTACTGAGCCCCTGTGCTCTAGAGCCTGCATGCCACAACTAGAGAGAAGCCCATGCACTGCGACAAAAGATCCCGCATGCCGCAATGAAGATCCTGCATGCCACAACCAAGACCCAACACAGCCAAATAAGTAAATAAATAAATTTTAAAAATAATAAAAGCCATTCATGACAAACCTGTAGCCAATATCATACTCAATGGTGAAAAGCTGAAAGCCTTCTTGCTAAATTCAGCAACAAGGATGCCCACTCTCACCACTTCTATTCAACATAGTATTGAAACTTCTAGCCACAGCAATCAGACAAGAAAAATAAATAAAATGTGTCCAGATTGGAAGGGAAGAGGTAAAATTGTCTTTCTATGCAAGACTCTATACAGAAAACCCTAAAGCCTCCGCACAAAAACTGTTAGAATAAATGAATTCAGTAAGGTAGCAGGATTAGTATACAGAAATCTGTTACATTTCTTTATACTAACAAATATCAGAAAAGGAAAGTAAAAAGAAAAAGTGTTTAAAATTGCATCAAAGAAAAAAAACCAACCTAGAAATAAACTTAACCAAGAATGTGAAAGACCTATACACTGAGAACTATAAAACATTGATAAAGGAAACTGAAGAAGATTCAAAGAAATGGAAAGATATCCTGTGGTCTTGGATTGGAAGAATTAATATTGTTAAAATGGCCATACTACCCAAAGCAATCTACAGATTGTCAAATTACCTGTGACATTTTACACAGAATTAGAATAATCCTAAAATTTATAAGGAACCACAAGAGACTCAGAATTGCCAAAGCAATTCTGAGGAAAAAGAACAAAGCTGTAGGCATAATCTTCCCAGACTTCAGACAATACTGCAAAGCTACAGTTATCAAAACAGCATGGTATTGGCGCAAAAACACATATAGATCAAGGGACCAGAATAAAGAACCCTGGAGTAAACCCACACACCTATGGTCAATTACTCTTTGACAAAGGAGGCAAGAATATACAGTGGAGAGAAGACAGTCTCTTTAGCAAGTGACGTTGGGAAAGCTGGACAGCTGCATGTAAATCAATGAAATTAGAACATTCCCTCATACCATGCACAAAAATAAACTCAAAATGCCTTAAAGACTTAATATAAGACACGATACCATAAAACTCCTATG